GTTGCGACCAGAAATCCTGGCAACACGTTACTTCAAACCTCCAACAAAACAATCGAGGGCAATAGGAGAAAGCCGGCTCGGTCTAAATCCACGGCTCAGTCACTCTACTCGGAGGCCCAAAACCGTCGGGAGAAGATGGCGGGTGCGACATCCACTTAACAGATAGATGAAAATCGCCCAGAACCGAGCCTGCAGATTGTCCGCCGACCCATCCATCAACGTTTGGGCGACAAAAGTTAGACAGATCGCGACCTTAGAGAAGTCATCAAGCGCGAAAAAGCTATCGGACGTGACACCGACGAGGTTGCGACCCTTAACGGAGCATTGCAGAGCTAGAAGCTCGGCACCCATCACAGGGGGGACCCTCTCCTTTCTCCCCTCCACGATCCAATGCCCGGGTCATGGACCATGCTTCACCCCTCTCCCCAGACATCCTGTTGGAGGCCATCCCAGCAAAAATCAAAGTGTCGCGGCTTAGACTTTATGACGGAAGCTCGGATCCTGATTCCCACGTAGGCCTCTACACCTCGTGGATGGACCTGCACGGCGCGACAGACGCTCTGTGTTGCAGTATGTTCTCCCTAATGCTGGGGCCTAAGGAGCAGAGGTGGTACCACTCTCTGTACCCTCACTCCATCTCTTCGTGGGGACAATTTAGGTTGGCATTCCGCTCACACTTCATCGGGTGACAGATAAACCTCGCCCCAAAGGAGTCAATTACGAACATCGTTCAAGGGGCCGAGGAGATTCTGAAAGACTAAATTTCACAGTTCAACGACCGAGTCTAGAACATGGAGTAGTGCCATCCGAAGACCTTGTTGATATCCGTACAAGCCGGGCTAAAACCAAAACCCTCTTCAAATGGTCATTATGCCAGAACAAGCCAACCACTTACCAGGAGTTTCTAGTCCGGGCCCAGGACTATATCATGAGGGAGGAATCCATATCGATCCCAACTTTCGACGCCGCGCCAACAAAAGGCAAGGCCAAGGAGGAGAAATCGGGGAAGTCGAGCAAATCCATGGCGAAAGTCCGGGCTATGAGGAAGCAAAGAGCCGAAGAGCTCAAAGAAAATTATCAAGGTGTCTTCTCTGTGGGGGCAGCCGCGGTCTATGAGAAGATCAAGGCTAAGGGATTACTCCCAGATCCCAAGTCGATGCAGGCCGACCAGGGAAAGGCGACAAATCTCGGTACTGCGCCTACCACAAGGGGCACAAACACAACACCGACCAGTGCCGAAATCTGATCAAGGCATTGCTCAAGTTGATAGATGACCCCCAAACGAAAAAGTTCACCCACTCGAACAATAAAAAGAAGAGAGGGGGTCAGTTTGAGGACGACCCTGACAGTGACGAGGAATCTGACGTCCATCATTGAAGAAGAGGACGAAGCAGGGCGACAACCAAGAGATAATGACTTTCTGCCCGACCCACCAATGTGAGGCTGGCACTTAGGGAATCAGAAAAAGAGGTCGATCCTCCGAACAGGGGGACGATGTACCGGCCTAGCCACCTCAGCGTTTCAACACAAGCCGAGGTGATTCGCTCATTTCGAGGAGATAGACCAAGGAATATACTCGGCATGCCTATCATGCCGGGCAGAGAGTTCAGCATGCAATAGCAAACCGGCGACTGAACCCGCATCGAACAAGATCTCCTTTACCGACGAGGACGCTTTTCTATTCGACCAACCACACTCTGATGCCTTGGTGATCATGACACCTATCATGGTGATAAAGGTATACCGCATCATGGTCTACACCGGGGCCTATGCAAGTATACTCTACTACGACACCTTCAAGAAAATGGGTGTCGACATGAAGGAGGTGCAATCATGTCGAGAACGAATCCAGGGCATTAACGGAAAGACGACGCTCCCCGTCGGCCAAATCATGTTGCCGGTCAAATTCAGAGGAGACGGGCAGCCCATAAGGACGATCCTTGAAACCTTCAAGATCGTGGACTGCCCAAGTGAGTACAACGCCATCCTTTACAAGTTTAGGGCTGCAGTTTTCATTTTCCAGTACTTCATCAAATTTCCAAACTCAGATGGAGAGTGGACCCATCGCAGGGACCAACAGGAGGCGAGAGAATGTGTCTTGACTATCACTCAGACAGAGATCAACACAGCTAACTCCGCACCCAACCCCGAGGTGGAACTGGGGCGACCTGGAGATTGAAGCAGAAAATGGTTTAGACCTCTCAAACGTAAATGCCGAGTTGGTACACCTCGGCCAGAGGGATGACCGCATGCTGGGAAACAAGACATGTCCACTCTTTTGGGCCGCGAGTGACGCCGACGCGACAATGGGAGGGTCTAGAGCCAACTTGGATCAGGACAGGAGCAGAAGGGCATGCGAAGAACCTATGATGGAGGAAGATGAGCTCGACCCCCGAGCTCAGTACGAAGAGAAGAGGGGGACCAAAAAATCCGAGCCGATGGACGAAGTCGAGATCATATTCATTAATGAGGAGACATGCCCAAAACAACTCCGAATTGGGAGTAAGCTACCGGAGCCCTTAAAAGCGG